GGCCAGAGTAACGTCAGATATAAGAGCAGGTGACAGTACAGCAAAACTGAATCTGGTTGCCTGCACCCTTCTGTTGGCATAAGGACGGGCTTCTTTTCATGATAAAAGCTTAAAAATTGGTCCTTAAGTCATCAACAGAATCAGCACCAATGAAAGTAAAGTCTTTTCAAGAATATTCTATTTCAAGACATTCTATTCATATTTCAAAGAGTGAGAAATCTCCAAATTTTCTGGATGGTTTAAGACAGTACATATCAAAGCCATTTATTTGCAGCACTTTTTTTTTTTTTTCCTCTTTCTTCAGATCCTCTAACATATGCCAGTTGATGATAAGTTGCTGTACTCTATTATCTTATAGTGATTTGTGCCTTTTTTTTCAAAATAGGAATTTGAAGCCTGTGCTTTGCTTACTAATGCTCAGAAACATTTTAAATCACCTTTCATTACAAGAAATGCAGGCCCGTTGTCCTTGGATAAATTGCATTGCCATAAATTGGCAACCTTAAATCTATTCAAAGTACATTGATCTTAATTTCAGCTTCCTAAATACTGCTTTGTTTTATGGCTTGAATATAAGAAATTCTGGATTTTTGTAATATAAATTGTGATGTTTTCATAAGAAGTGAGACATCAAATTCATCCACTCAAATGCTTAGAGTGATCCACAGGCATGCAAAAACTAATTACTACTTATTTTCTATTGCTAAATGGAAATGGACTTTGGACTTTGCAGCAGAATGTCTATTCCGCCTGCAAAATCTTATGACAAACAGATAAGGGATAAATCCAACAAAACGGAGAGCATTCATGAGGTGAAATTAAGTGCACAGTTTAGAATTATGTTTTGGAGGAGTGTAGTATTTAAAATTTATTTAATGTTTGTGGGAGTTTCGGGGCACTAGATTTTAAGAAGAAGAATATGTCAACAATTTGAGAGGCTGAGATGTCTGGATAAAAAGGAATATATACTATTCTTACCTGCAGAGAAATTGCAATATAGCTTGGGAGAAGAAGAAAATGGAATCAAAAGAGACATTAAGTAATATACAGAGGAAGGAAAGCGAAAAGACAGAAGTTATTTAAGTTTATAAAACCCTTAAAATAGAAAATGTAGAGGTTAGATTTGACCCCAGCATATGAGTAGAACTCTGGAGGAATTTTTAGCCTGTCTGGACATGGACAGAGCAGCTCTTAGTGTCTCTGAAACAAACAGACTGGAGAGGCGTGAAGTGACACTCTGGAAATCCAGAGTTCAGGTTACACGGAAAGACAAACCTTGGTGAAAGAAACGTACAAGTAGGATTTCTTATTAGAATGCTTAGTGTTTAGCTTCTGCCACCAGTTAGGTCCTCAGGGAGTCTTTGGGGCAACAGATAAGTTGGTAATATTATTTGTTCCTGATGTATTTATTTTTCATTTCAGGTTACACATTTGTTTGATAATGGAGGGACTGTCTTCTTCGCTATTTTCATGGCAATTTGGGGTAAGCACGTTTTTATTTGGTTCACCTGACCCTTTTATATGATTACTGTGTAAAGGGAGATTATAGCTCTTGATAAAATTTAAAGAAGGATTATGATTTTGTCACACAAACTTTTTTTTTCTGTTTTCATCAACTTCAATTTCTATGCTAGTTGTGGGTGAAAATAATACCTTTTTCATTAATGTAATGACTGTCTTTAGCATCTTAAATGTCTTTAAGCCTGAATTTTATATCATGCAGGCAGAAATAGTTTTAGAGGCAAACATGTAGGTTAGTTTACTGTTATGGAGTCAACATAAAAATCACATATTGTAGAGAATTCTTATGGAATAAATAAGAATGTTTTTGTGGGAGCTGATTAGAGGGAAGCATAGGAAAGATTTGATGTTAAGTGCTTACAGCAATTTAACTATTTGTATTCGGATTCCCAGTCTGATACTTCATTATGTTCACTCTGACATTACGCACATCATGTCATGGGGCACAAAGCCAAGCAGGGTGATATCCACAGAGACCACAGTTGCACAGGAGTTACAGTGAACAGAGTCTTGCCTCTCTTAGAAGGTCAGTGTAACAGTGCCAGACAAGACAGATGTAATGGTTCCAGCAAGAAATGCTTGATGGAATTAGCTTTCACCAAAGCTAATAGTATTTTGCTGCTGGAAAGTAGGGAAGACTGGTATTAGAACAAGAGATAATTAGTTTTACCGGTGTAAATGTTCGTCTGTGTGAACCCTGAGAAAATAACACCAGTTCACATACATACAACTGACTTCAAGCCAGAGTTTTACAATTTTAGAGTCAAATGGCACGCAACAGCTTTATTTATGTAATACGTATGAATAAACATTAATGATTCTAACTTAAAGCGAAGAGTGAATGAATGTCACAAATTTTAGAGGCTGGCCTGGTAAAAACAAACAAAAAAGAAATACAAACAGCAGCAACAGATCAAAGAGCAAAATGAGCACATGCACACAAAAATTGTAATTAGGTTGTAAAAATTAACACAATATAAATATAGCTGAAAGGTACACTTTGATTGCTCGCCTCAGTGATATTTCTTCATTGGATCCTAATCTTGCTGTTACAGCCGTGCAATTATTAATAATTAGTTTCATAAATTCCTAAAATACATTGCACTTGGTTATGTGGTTACTGATGTAAACAAGGCTGGTAGCTTCTTAGCATCTCTTCATCTCTGTCCTCAAGGTCTCCCTAGAGAGAGCTCTTTCCATTTTCAGCTGAGGCCAAGGTTTAAGTATAAGGAGGAATTTTGCTTTTATGATACAGCTTTACCATTATCAGGAAAGATGGCATAACATGTACTAAGGAAGAAGAAAGCTGAGCATTACGTTTTTCTTCATTTCAAGCAGCAGAGTGATACTCTCACCTCGTACAGGTGCATGTGTCTCAGATTTTCAACCTGCTAGCCAACGTGCTGGGTACAGTGTTAGAAGTCAGGTTCTGGATTTGATGGGAAGTGTGCTGATTTTGTGCCTGACCCCCGCAGGAATGACAACACTGCACGTATGCACTCAATTCTTTAATCTTCTAAATACTTTGAATTAAATACCTGTTTTACTCATCTGTAGTGTGACTGCCATTGTTTCTCTCTCTGGTGTGTGCAGGCATGTAATTTACTAACCCATCGAATGAACCCTCATTGCAACGTTCACAGTCAGTTAGTGAGATAACTCCATCGACGTGATCCACAGTCTCCACACTAAATAATGCATTTTAACAGTCGTAGTAACAAGCATGTATCCCATGTGAGCGGTTATTTTCTTTGCACTTTATGCTGTTTATTCAATACCTTTACACCCATGTCTTTTTCCTGTTGTTGCTTTCTATTTAGACATTTCTGATAATTGCAAATGGATAAACTATGCAATTATTTGCATTATGCTGCCATAATTTTACTCTTTAGCTGGACAAAACAGGAGCGTGCTTTTTTAGGTTATCTATATACATGGCAGAGATAATTTCTTTCCTTTCATGTTAAGGTGAGTATTTCTTCTATCTGACCTGTACCAAAACCTTTGACATCATTGCTACAGATCTAGCCTGCAATGCAAACAACAGATAGAGGAATAGAAGCTTGTCTTCTTTTTGTCCCTCTAATAGTGATTTTAACTCTGTGTGATCATAGTCAAAGGTTAAATGTCGTCTGTGTTCCTCAGTAGTTCGATTCTCCCCAGCAAACTTCAACCTCTGAGTAATCCAAGTAAATCTAATTCTTTTTGTCATGTTCACTGAGGAAAGTACAAATGTAGAGTGTGGAAAATAATGCCCTGAGTCATTTATCAGATGGGAATTCTGTTTGGACAGAACAGTTTCACCTCAAGGTAGTTAAACGTGGGACTTTTTTGTATTGATGCTCAAATATCATTGCAACCCAAGTCAAATTTTGCTCTGTTACAATATCTGCTTTCTCGACCAAAGTTACACATCGCAGAATTTTCCCTGGGTGCTATTTGTCTATATTATGCCTAATAAAGCAAGTATAGTATCCTTCCAGGAAAAGCATAAGTTGATCGTTTCATTACAACATAGAAGAGTGATGCTCTGCTGTCAGTGATCTTGTGATTTTTCCCTTGCTTTCCAAAACATTATTTGCACAATAATGGCTGTAAGATAACAGCTGCCAGTTCATTTTAGAAAAAAGGAAAGCATGTAGGTAACAAGTGAGAGGATAGTCTGAAGTAAACATTACAGTGAAAGGTGGGATGGTGTCATGTCAGCCATAGGAATGCCATCGGATGGGCACCCTGCGTTGTCTTCCTCTCCCTTGTCTGCCGCGCTGCTTTTGTCATCTGGTGCACATCTGATACTCGTATTGTATGGTCCAAGTGAGTTGTCTAAGTGGAGAACTGAAAGGATAATGTGATTATCTTTTATATATTGCTTGAAAGATTCTTATCCTCATACACTGGGTACCTTACAGTTTAGTTCAGCAGACCCTCACAGCTAAATCCAGATAACCTCTTTCTTACATATGGGGGACCAAAAGATAAAGGCCCTGATTTACCATCTTCTGAAGATAACGTGTTCTCCCAGTAATGTCCATTCAGCACTACATGGGTGGTCAACTTTCAAAGCTAGTTCCTAATCTGATGTTCTGGCAGCTTTCAGCTCTTGCATTTAAGCCAGAAAGGGCGTATTGCCAGAGTTTTATTTTGATTTGATTTTATATGAGGAAAAAAATGTGTTTAGCCTCTCTGTGGTTGTTTAAACATTTGAAAATAAAGTCCAGGAACATGACACAAATGTTTGGAGACACTGTGATTACACTTTAATACAAGTTTATACATATTCATGGAGAAGACAAAAGCAATCTTTTTTTAAAGCTCTTAAAAATATTTTTACTTCTAAAAATAGACATAGCTTCATCACTCATTCTGTAATTGAAGTTGGATGAGTAAGGCATCTAGCATTTTTTAGTTAATCAAAGTTTGGGAGAGCTTTTGAGCTATAGTTTTGACCTCTCCTGCAATTCTTTGAACAGGTTCACTGATACTAGATATGATATTTCCCGATATTTCAGGGGTTAAAAAAATAACTTTTAAGGAAGCGACATAGATTTAAGGGGAGAATTGGTTAAGCTAATATTTAAAAATAATAAGGTACTGTCAGTTGAAAACTAGTTTGACTGGATTCAATAATATAATTCCAAATAATTCAGTAAGACCAGACTATTTAAACAGCTCTGCGCAGAAATAAAAAATGTTCTTACGCAAAACGCTTATGCTATTCCTTACCTGGGTCATTCCGTGTATCGTCATAAAGCCGTCTGTGGGAAAATGACTCAGACCTTTTCTTGCCACATATAAAATATCCAACCAGACCAATTAATATAGATCCCAAAATGGCTCCTACAATGACACCAACTATTACTCCTCCTTTGTTGGTTTTGTCTAGGAGAGAAGGAAGGAAAGAAGAGACAGCTGAATGAGAATAATAAATCTGTACGATCAGATACTTCACTCTTGCTTTATAGCAGTTGAGGGCTTTGGGGAGTGAGACTTTTCACCAAGGATCTGAAACACTTGGCAGACTATGACTAAACCAGCCTCTTTGCAGAAACTCTCTGCCGTTGTAAAAGAAAATAGACATCTCCATCCTTGACTTTCAAGGGAATAACTGGGTTTAAAAAACAAAAAAAGGGGGGCTAAATGAGTTTCAGTCAAATAAAAAGGTTCCAGGTTTAATTACAGAATCAACCGCTATCCTTTTATTCAAAGAAATAAGCAGTAATCACTCTTTGAATGCAATTATTTATAAGTATTTAAGCCAGCCATTAAAATTGCAGCCTCTGAATTTCAAGTGATTAAGTTTTAGAGTACCAGTTTTTGAGTATGCCAGGTAAGAAATCCACTAATTCTTTCTGCACCTGTTCAGTTAGCAGAATACCTGCATTCCTCCAAGATTTTCCTCAAATTTCATAAAACTTTTCTTCAAAGTATTCTGTTTTTCTTGGAACTGAACTTGGTCTCCCACCCCCCTTCCTTTTCAGACATGTTATCTAAAAATCAGGTACACTGTAATTATTAGAACTATGGTGGGAAACATGAAAGTCTGATGCTCCTTCAGTTCCTAGTACAAACTGTACTCTACTCGCTATGATGGATAAGACTTTCAGTCCTGTGTTAAAAGCTTGAAAGCTAATTAATGGCAAAAATTTACTGTCTTCTAATCTTTCCTTTTCTTTTCCTGAAGACCTGATTCAGAGCAGCAGGATAGAAAAGGGCCCTGACAGTTTTATGCTCCATTGTTTTCCCACGCGTACTCAACTTGATAATTAAATGCATAATGAGTAATTCCTTTGAAAGAATTTATAACAAGTCGTCTTTGGTCACAAAAGTTTCTGAACTTAAATAAGTTGACGTGTTACACGTTTTAAATGTTATTTCTATACATCTGCTCTGAAGGTCCACTCCAGTGTGAATGAGCAGTACCTGTCATTAGGTTCCCTCACTCCTGGAAGTGTTAAACAAATA